AGTATGTATTCTTCTCCGTCATTCTACTTTCGTTCTAATTCACGTCCACACACTCTTTTCTTATAGTTTTCTCAGAATAATTCTAAGTTTGAATCTCATTTTCCTTCTATTCTCGTCCATATGTTCATTCTCCTTCATCCTTGTTTTTTCCTCAATTTATTTTCTCATTCTTCTTGTTTTTATATCTCGTTCTTATTTCCATTCTTGTTCTCATGCACATTCCCACTCTACGGTTCTCGTTCTCATTCTAGTTCTCTTTTTCTGCTCATTCTCACTCTATTCTTCTTCACATCATCATGTGTTCTCTAATTCTCGTTTACACCCTCGATTCTCTCTCAAGTTATTACAGTATATATTCTCATTGTCCTTCCAATCGCGATCTTATTTCCGTCCATATTTCATTCCCAGTCTCGTTTTCATTGTTATTCTAATTTTGCTTTTTTTGCCCTTGTTCTAATTTACATTCTCATTTCCGTCCTTTAGGAACTTTCTTGTTTTTGTTCTAATTCTGGCTCTCATTCTCATTTTATTCTCGTTATTAATCTCTTTACTCTGGTCCACATTTTCGTTTTTATTCTCGTTCTTATGTTAGAACATATTTTGGTTCTAATTTTCGTCCTTGCTTAGGTTCTCACTTGTTTCTCCATTTTCGTTCTCATTTTCGGTGGAATTCTCATTATCTTTCTCATTCTATTTCTAATAGTTCTTGTTTTCTCTATATTCCTCATTCTAGTTTCCGTTTTCATCTTCGTTCTTTCTTTTTTCTCATTCTAGTATGTATTCTTCTCTGTCATCCCACTTTCATTCGAATTCACGTCCACACACTCTTTTCTTATAGTTTTCCAGGAGTAATTCTAAGTTCGAATCTCATTTTCCTTCTATTTTCGTCCATATGTTCACTTTCGTTTTCGTTGATACTCTGGACAAATAAAATACGTCAGAATTTTTTTGGTCATCAAGTACTAACCTCGCCCACCCACCCTTTTCTCATTCGAACGACAAATTATATTCCTGTACAGTATAAGTTCCATCTTTCATTCAGAGCGGATAAAATTAATCACTGAAATCGAAACGGGTGGGTGGGCGGGGTTAATTATTTATTCTTGTGTGGAGTGGAATTGAGAAATAATAATACCTAGACTGTAATCCTGCATTTTTCTTTGCAACCATAACTGCTTTCGTCGCCTCTATTTTTTTGGAAAGTATATCATTTGCCAATTTAAGATCTGCCAAAATCAATCTTGCCTTAGCAAGTACTATTCTCATTCGAACGACAAATTTCATTCCTGTGCAGTATAAGCTCCATCTTTTATTCAGGGCAGATAAAATTAATCACTGAAATAGAGACGGGTGGGTGGGCGGGGTTAATTATTTGTTCGTCTGTAGAGTGGAATTGAGAAATAATAATATTAGGCTGTAATCTTGCATTTTTCTTTGCAACCATAACTGCTTTCGTCGCCTCTATTTTTTGGAGAGTATATCATTTGCCAAAATAAGATCTGCCAAAATTCGTCTTGCCTTAGCAAGTACTAACCCCGCCCACCCACCCTCTTCTCATTCGAACGACAAATTTTATTCCTATACAGTATAAGTTCCATCTTTCATTCAGAGCAGATAAAATTAATCACTGAAATAGAGACGGGTGGGTGGGCGGGGCTAATTATTTGTTCTTCTGTAGAGTGGAATTGAGAAATAATAATACCTAGGCTGTAATCCTGCATTTTTCTATGCAACCATAACTGTTTTCGTCACCTTTATTTATTTGGAGAGTATATCATTTGCCAATATAAGGTCTGCCAAAATCAGTCTTGTCGTAGTAAGTATTAACCCCGCCCACCCACCCTCTTCTCATTCGAACGACAAATTTTATTCCTGTACAGTATAAGTTCCATGCTTCATTCAGGGCAGATAAAATTAATCACTGAAATAGAGACGGGTGGGTGGGCGGGGTTAATTATTTGTTCTTCTGTAGAGTGGAATTGAAAAATAATAACACCTAAGCTGTAATCCTGCATTTTTCTCTGCAACAATAACTGCTTTCGTCGCCCCTATTTTTTTTTGGAGTGTATATTATTTGCCAATTCAACATCTGCCAAAATCAGTCTTGTCTTAGCAAGTACTAACCCCGCCCACCCACCCTCTTCTCTTTCGAACGACAAATTGTATTCCTGTACAGTATAATTTCCATGCTTCATTCAGGGCAGATAAAATTAATCACTGAAATAGAGACGGGTGGGTGGGCGGGGTTAATTATTTGTTCTTCTGTAGAGTGGAATTAAGAAATAATAATACCTATTAGGCAGTAATCCTGCATTTTTTTTTTGCAACCATAACTGCTGTCGTCACCTTTATTTTTTTGGAGAGTATATCATTTGCTAAAATAAGATCTAACAAAATCAGTCTTGTCTTAGCAAGTACTAACCCCGCCCACCCACCCTCTTCTCATTCGAACGACAAATTTTATTCCTGTACAGTATAAGTTCCATGCTTCATTCAGGGCAGATAAAATTAATCACTGAAATATAGACGGGTGGGTGGGCGGGGTTAATTATTTGTTCTTCTGTAGAGTGGAATTAAGAAATAATAATACCTATTAGGCAGTAATCCTGCATTTTTTTTTACAACCATAACTGTTTTCGTCACCTACATTTTTTTTTGGAGAGTATATCATTTGCCAATATAAGATCTGCCAAAATCAGTCTTTTCTTAGCAAATATTAACCCCGCCCACCCACCCTCTTCTCATTCGAACGACAAATTTTATTCCTGTAGAGTATAAGTTCCGTCTTTCAATCAGAGCAGATAAAATTAATCACTGAAATAGAGATGGGTGGGTGGGCGGGGTTAATTATTTGTTAATATGTAGAGTGGAATTGAAAAATAATAATACCTAAGCTGTAATCCTGCATTTTTCTCTGCAACAATAACTGCTTTCGTCGCCCCTATTTTTTTTTGGAGTGTATATTATTTGCCAATTTAACATCTCCCAAAATCAGTCTTGTCTTAGCAAGTACTAACCCAGCCCACCCACCCTCTTCTCATTCGAACGACAAATTTTATTCCTGTACAGTATAAGTTCCATGCTTCATTCAGGGCAGATAAAATTAATCACTGAAATATAGACGGGTGGGTGGGCGGGGTTAATTATTTGTTCTTCTGTAGAGTGGAATTAAGAAATAATAATACCTATTAGGCAGTAATCCTGCATTTTTTTTTTGCAACCATAACTGCTGTCGTCACCTTTATTTTTTTGGAGAGTATATCATTTGCTAAAATAAGATCTGCCAAAATCAGTCTTGTCTTAGCAAGTACTAACGCCGCCCACCCGCCCTCTTCTCTTTCGAACGACAAATTTTAATCCTGTGCAGTATAAGTTCGATCTTTTATTCAGAGTAGATAAAATTAATCACTAAAATAGAGGCGGGTGGGTGGGCGGAGTTAATTATTTGTTCTTATGTAGAGTGGAATTGAAAAATAATAATACCAAGGCTGTAATCCTGCATTTTTCTTTGCAACCATAACTGCTTTCGTCACCTTTATTTTTTTGGAGAGTGTATCATTTGCTAAAATAAGATCTGCCAAAATCAGTCTTGTCTTAGCAAGTACTAACCCCGCCCACCCACCCTCTTCTCATTCGAACGACAAATTTTCATTCAGAGCAGATAAAATTAGTCATTGAAATAGAGACGGGTCGGTGGGCGGGGTTAATTATTTTTTATTCTGTTGAGTGGAATTGAGAAATAATAGTACCTAGGTTGTAAAAATTAAAAAAAAAGCTCTAATCGTAACCTTTTTGTTTTATAAAGTAAGAAAAAATAAGAGAATAGGTGGGTGGGCGGGGTAAAGTTTCCCTTTTACCTACCGAATCTCATTTTGCTTCTATTCTCGTCCATATGTTCATTTTTGGTTTCGTTGGCACTCTATTTTTCATCCTTGTTTTCTTCTTCATTTATTTTCTCATTCTTGTTGTTTTCATATCTCGTTTTTGTTCTCGAGCACATTCTCACTCTACGGTTTTCATTCTCATTTCCATTCTATTCTTTTTCAAATTATCATGTGTGCTCTAGTTCCCGTTTACACCCTCGATTCTCTCACAGTAATTTCAGTGTGTATTTTCATGTTCCTTCCATTCGCGATCTTATTCCCGTCTCAGTCTAGTTTTCGTTGTTATTTTGATTTTGATCTTTTTTCCCCGTCCTTCTTTTAATGTCCATTTTCATTCCCTTCCTTTACGCACTTCCTTGTTTTATTTCTAATTCTGGTTCTCATTCTCATTCCATTTCCATTAATTCTGATTGTAATTCTCGTTTCTACTTTGATTGTCACTTTTCTTTCATTCTCGTTGTTATTCTCCTACATAATTTGATTCTAATTTTCATTCGCTTTCTAATGCTCGTTTTACAACGTCCTTCTCACTTTATTCTTGCCCATATGTTCATTTCCCTTTCTTTAGCATTCTAATTTTCGTCGTCAGTCTCGCTTTGGCTTTTCTTCCGGTTTTTGTTCTAATTTGCATTCTCATTCCATTCTCGTTAACATATATTTTTTTCATATATATATATATTATTATATTATTATTACTATTATTATTAACAAGAGAACAACATACTGTATATAGTGTTTAGCCCAAAAATATCATTCTTATAATCAAAAAACCGAATCTAGATTCACACGAACGCCCATAACTAGTAGTAATATTTAACCAAAAGCAAAACTTCCACACAAAGGAAAATTAAAAATAAACCAAATATTTAACCTCCGTCTGCCTATTACTAAATCACTGAGCAAATATTGTGGTAATTGTCTTCATCCAGTTAACACCAGATCCCCCCTTATCACCAGCTATCAAACTCCAAACACACAACATATTTACACATCTCGTTGCATAATCCTTTTATCCGTTTCGCCACACATTAACAGGTACCGGGTTATCGCGGTCCAAATGTCAAAACCCATCACTCAGCCTCCACATGCCTAAACTCAACTTAACTTCTTTTGCAGAATGTCGAGTACCATGTCGAGTACCGAAATCCAGACCATCCCCCGGCTGTTCCCCCACAAGATGGAGGAAAAAAGGCTAGTGAGGACCTCCTCCCTGGAGAAGATACGCAGGTTCAACAGCTTCATATGCTCGCAGCAGTACTACATCCTGCCCGCGCTCCTGGCGTGGCTGCGCTCCTCCCAGTCCGTCCTGCAGTCCTCCACCGAGAAGACCATCTTCTTCTTCCGCTCGCTGATCTTCAGCCACCTCCTCTACAAGCTCTACCAAGTGGAGTTCCGGACCATCCTCTCCAACGTTCTCGCTTTGTTCGAGAAGCAAATTCGAGTGCAGTATGGCAGGATCACCCGGGTGGAGAATCTACTTAGGATGGGGGTGGTCATGGTGGTGGCGGTGCTTTTGACTGAGTTGGTGGTGTGTTTCTACTTACTGTGTCTGACTGGTGCGCCCAGCGGCCTCGTCTTTTTGATAGTTTGCTGTTTTTACATTATTTATTTGAACGTAAGGGCCGGTGGCTACGTGGACAAGAAAAGTGTGATGAAGAAGAGGAACTAGGTGCTTTAGAGTAGGGTTAATTTATTGCTATTGTAGTTGATAAGGTCGAAATTGTTTTTGTACTTGATGATGACAAATATATCCTATTTTGATATGGTGTGGTTGTTTTATTGTCAAATGTCGCATTGTGAAAATAAACGAAGTTTAGGTTGAATTTTTCTGGGGTTTTTGTGTCTGTAGTGTCAGGTGCGTTAAATTACGCTGCAGCATGAATAGGTATTACTGTAATCACGAAGAAATTGTTGCTAGTGCTTGCGGTATCTTGAGGTAATTATAACGTTGTGGATGTACTGGGTAGAAGAAGTCGGACTGTGAGGATGATTTTCCTATTATGCAATTATACGAGAGTTCAAGTTCTCAAGGACAGTGCCTGCAGGTGTCTGAATGCAGCTTTTTTTTATGTCTGTGCGTTTCAGTGTGGATGTACGTGGAAGAGGTGAAGGTAGGTTGAGTGAAAGATCAAAATAATTATTTTAAACACGATAAACAGTAAGACAGTTGAAGTTCTGGCCTAAACTGACGCCAGTTTGTAGATAACTAAATAATACTGAAATAATCATATATCAGTGAAGAAAAAAAACTTCAAGGTCTAAATCTGAAGCGAACTTAACATATTGTCACTTTTTGATTTATTGCTGTTTCAGTTACAGTGTACACTATTACTATGGAGCGGAACACTAAGTTGAAATAATGTAGCAACGTACGTTTTAGTCTTAATTTTTTAGTTAACTACAAAAGTTTAACAATTGCACACAATTAAAGCTGACGTCGAATATTAAATAATTTGGGCATATGGGATTTGACACAGTAAAAACCGAAATATCACGTATTTATCAGAGCAGATCTCCTAAACGCTTCCCGAGTCCCAAAATAACACCTATATCAACTTTGTGATATATATTATGATAATAAAATGATGTAAAACTGATAATATTAGATTCTTATTACAAACATTTTTTTTTGTACTATTTGCTATAAGATTTGTTTATTATATCGGAAGAAAAAAACAAGAGAATGAGTGGGTGGGCGGGGCTAAGTTTAACTTTTTCCTATCGAGTCTTTTATAAGTAAAAAGCAGGCCCAATTTACCACAATCCTGCATTTTTCATTGCAACCATAACTGGTTTCATCACCTCTATTTTTTTAGAAAGTATATCATTTGCTAATATAAGATCTGCCAAAATCAGTCCTATATTAAAAAGTACTAAGTCCCGCCCATCCACCCTCTGGTCCTTCGAACGACGAATTTTTATCCAGTACAGTATATGTTCCACTTTTCATCTTGAGTAAATAAAATTAATCACCGAAAAAGAGACAGGTGGGTGGGCGGGATTAATTATTTGTTCTTCTGGAGAGCGGAATTTGGAAATAATAGAACCTAGGCTGTAAAAAAAGTAAAACAAAAAAATCTAATCGTAACATCGTCCGGATGAGATTTGCTTTTAAGTTCACGTAATTTTTTCAAAGGTCCAACTCTAAAAAATTTAGAAATTATTTTAATGTAGCTGTATTTTATGTAATTGGTTTAGTTTTTTCGCGGTTATTACAATCTCTAGACAAATAAAACACATAAATATTTTTTTTTGATCAACAGGCTTTAAAATATTTGTTTTTTCTAGAAATAATTGTCATATTTAAAAATTTAGTTCCGCCAAACTCAGTCGTAGTAAGTACTAATCCCGCTCACCCACCCTTTTTTCATTCTAACGACAAATTTAATTCCTGTACACTATAAGTTCCACTTTTTATTCTAAGCAGATAAAATTAATCACTCAAATCGAGGCGCGGGGTTAATTATTTGTTCTTCTGTAGAGTGCAGTTGAGGAATTCCTTGGCTGTAAAAAAGTAAAAAAGAGTTCTAATTATAACTTTTTTGTTGTACTATTTGCTATAAGATTTGTTTCATGTCTCGGAAGAAAAAAAAATGAGAAAATGGGTGGGTGGGTGGGGCTAAGTTTAACTTTTTGGTCTATGTCTTATAGACTTGGCAACTGCGTTTGTAGTCGTCCCTAAGTAGTTCGCTTTCAAATTCACGTAGTTTTTTCGAATATCCAATTCTAAAAAAATTATAACTTATATTAATGTAGATGTACCCATTTTTCATTCTAACGACAAATTTTATTCCTGTACATCATAAGTTCCAGTTTTCATTCTAAGCAGATAAAATTAATCACTGAAATCGAGGCGGGTGGGTGGGCGGTGTTAAATATTTGTTCTTCTGGTAGGGTGGAATTGAGAAATAAGTAGAAGAAAGTTCTAATCGTAACTGTCTTTGTTGTACTGTTTGTCTATTTGCTATAATATAAGATCTATTTCTTATTTCGGAAGAAAAAAACAAGAAAATAGGTGGGTGGGCGGGGCTAAGTTTGACATTTTGCTACCGAGTCTTTTATAAGCGAGCCGCAGGTCCAATTTACCACAATCCTGTATTTTTCTTTGCAATTAATCATAACTCGTTTCATTTATGTCTTGGTGGTAATTACGTCTCTAGTCGACCCTTTCAAACTCACGTATACAGCTACATTAAAATAATTTACAATTTTATTTTAATGTAGCTGTATTTTACGTAATCGGTTTAGTTTTTTCGGACTTATTACAATCTCTAAACAAATAAAACACACAAGTACTTTTTTGATCAAAAGTTTTCAAAATTTTTGTTTTTTTATAGAAAAAAATTACTTATATTTAAAAGTTCAGTTTCGTCATTTTTTAAAATGGAGGTTTGTATTTTGTACACAATTTTGCCTCATTATAGTGTAACAAATTAAACAAAGTGTGTATACAACGTGTTATTCAAATGAAAAACTTGTATTTTTTAGAGAGTATGTTATTTGCTAATATAAGATCTGCCAAAAATCAGTCCTGTCTTAGCAACTACTAACCCCGCCCACCCACCCTCTTTTCTTTTCATTCGAACGACAAATTTTATTCCTTTACAGTATATGTTCCACTTTTTATTCTAAGCAGATAAAATTAATCACTGAAATGAAGGTAGGGTGGGTGGGCGGGGCTAAGTATATTCTCTCATGGAGTGGGAGTGGAAACTATTAGAATCTAGGATTTAAAAAAGTAAAAAAAAAGCTCTAACCGTATTTTTTTTATACTATATGCCATTGCAACTGTAAAAACTGCTATATTCCAATTAGCGATTTCGAAAGAACTACAGAAATTTTCGAAAAAACCAAGCCGAAAAAGACTTCTGGATGTCGAAATCTACAAGAAAATGTCTAACTAATTTTCAAAAATGGTTGAAAATGGTCGCAAATATCAAAAGTGTCGAAATCAGTCATATCGTATTAAATGCTAGCCCCGCCCATCCACCCTCGATTTTCTTAGAAGATATGCCGTTTGCTATAGACAGTCTTATCTTATCAAGTACTAGCCCCGCCCACCCGTCCTCTGTTTTCTTGAAGGGTATGTTATTTGCCAAAATCAGTTTTATATTAGCAAGTACTAACCCCGCCCACTCAGTCTTCTCATTCTAAAGACTAATTTAATTTCTGTTCAGTATAAGATCATTTATTTTATTCAGACCGGATAAAATTAATCACTGAAATGAAGACAGGGTGGGTGGGCGGGGCTAATTATACTCTCAAATGAAGTGGGAGTGGAAACTATTAGAATCTAGGATTTAGAAAAAGTAAAAAAAAGCGCTAACCGTAAATTTTTTGTTATACTATTTGCCACTGCAACTGTAAAAACTGCTATATTCCAATTAGCGATTTTGAAAGAATTACAGAAATTTTCGAAAAAACGAAGCCGAAAATGACTTCTGGATGTCGAAATCCACAAGAAAATGTCTAGCTAATTTTCGAAAATGGTTGAAGAATGGTCGAAAATATCAAAAGTGTCAAAATTAGTCATATCTAATAAAATGTTAGAGCCGCCCATCCGCCCTCTATTTTCTTGGAAAGTATGTCATTTGCCACAATCAGTTTTATCTTAGCAAGTACTAACCCCGCCCACCCACAGTCTTCTCATTCTAAGGACTAATTTCATTTCTGTTCAGTATCAGATCATTCATTTCGTTCGGACCATATAAAATTAATCACTAAAATGGCGGCGGGGTGGGTGGGCGGGGCTAAAATTAAATTTTTCCCTCCGAGTCTTTTATAATTATAAATAAGAAGCAGGCCCACTGTACCACATTCCTGTATTTTTCTTTGCAACCATAACTGGTTTCTTCACCTCTTATTTCAAAAAAAAAAATCCACTTTTCATTCTAAGCAGATAAATTTAATCACTGAAATCGAGGCGGGTGGGTGGGCGGGGTTAATTATTTGTTCTTCTGTAGGGAAATATTAATACCTAGGCTGTAAAAAGTAGAAAAAAGCTCTAATCGTAACTGTTTTTGTTGTACTGTTTGCCTATTTGCTATAATATAAGATTTGTTTCTTATCTCGGAAGAAAAAAGAAAGAGAGTGGGTGGGTAGGGCTAAGTTTGACATTTTCCTACCCAGTCTTTTATAAGCGCAGGCCCATTTTACCACAATCCTGCATTTTTCATTGCAACCATAACTGGTTTCTTCACCTCAATTTTTTTAGAGAGTATATAATTTGCTAATATGTATAAGATCTGCCAAAATCAGTCCTATATTAACAAGTACTAAGCCCCGCCCACCCACCCTCTTGTCATTCGAACGACGAATTTTATTCCTGTACAGTATATGTTCCACTTTTCATCTTGAGGAAATAAAATTAATCACCGAAAAAGAGGCGGGTGGGTGGGCGGGATTAATGTATTTGTTCTTTTGGAGAGCGGGATTGGGAAATAGTAGAACCTAGGCTGTAAAAAAGTAAAAAAGAATTTTAATTATAACTTTTTTGTGGTACTATTTGCTATAAGATTTGTTTCATATCTCGGAGGAAAAAAATGAGAAAATGGGTGGGTGGGTGGGGCTAAATTTAACTTTTTCGTCTTTGTCTTAGTCTTGGTGGCAACTGCGTTTGTAGTCGTCCGGAAGGAGTTCGCTTTAAAATTCACGTAGTTTTTTCTAATATCCAGTTCTAAAAAATTAGAAATTATTTTAATATAGCTTATTTTACGCAATCGGTTTAGTTTTTTTGGCCTTATTATAATCTCTAGACAAATAAAAC